AAAGAGGGGTGAGCACTATTGTTTACAGGGAGCAGGAAATGTTGAAGTCTTAAAGGGCTGACAAGGAACGTGCAAAGAGGAAGGTGACAGCTGTTTGTCCTGATTTGCTGCTACTCTGCAGTGACAGCCTGTGTGTAATAAGATCTCATAGCAGCAACATGCTAAAAATATCTCTTAATGTGCTTACAAAAGCTCTCATTCTTTGAATGAAATAAGTACAAAGCTCTGCAGTTTAAAACCTTTCCCAACAGCTCTTATGGCTGAGGGGAAAAAAAAAAAAAAAAAAGAAAAAAAAAAAAAGTACATGTAAAAATAATCCAATTTGTTTAAAAGTATATTTCTTAACTTCTGTTTCATCCAGGCAGCTCTGAATATATACAAGGCAACGCACACACTTTATCACTCAGAGGGTGGTTCTCTGGCTGTTTCTCTTGTCTGATACTGAGAAGAAATTAGACAACTCACCCTTGCCCAGTCCAGAGATGGCATCCGTGACCACCACCACCTTGTTTTGCACAGCAGACTTGGACAACAGCCACCTGACTGACTGGTAAATATAAATAACTCCACTGATTCCAAAGAGAAGCAATGGCAAAAAAAGTACAGCAAGGATACCCATCTCTGGGGGAAACAAAAGACCATATGAGAATAAAAGTAATAGAAATATGCATTAATTATTTTTCAAACTATTATTTTCTTGAAAAGCAATGTGTTCATCTACAGAAAATCCAGCTACCACCATGCCAAAGGCTTCAAGCAGTGGGAAGTTTGTTTTCCAATCCATATATTCATATTATTATTGAATAAACAAGGAAATATTGTTTGTCTGTTTTCCTCATCATTGCATGGTCTAATCAAATCTGGATTCCTTTTATTTAAAATTACTCTATGTTGGCAAAAATAATAAATAAATAGAATTTTAATAAAGATATTGCCTTGAGGAAAAATATGGGTTAAAATATAACACTGGATTTTTAATTATTATGTTATAGGAAAAGAGCTAAAAAGTTTTTAATTCTAATTTCAGATAAAATACATAATAGAAATGTTTTCTGTTCTAAAAATCAGAAAGAAATAGAATCACTTACTATGGATATGAAGACTCCAGGTACAGATAAATCATTCTCTGTATTTTTCTAAATGTTTGTATCACAGGTCTAGTTAAAGCTCTTTAGCAATTCCATGGAGTGTTGCATTTGTTGAGTCTGCTCCCCCTGAATGAGAAGGGCTGGGAATGGCCACATGACAGAGATACTTCAAAGTAAATATAGAATCTAAAGTGTAACCCAGTCCAACAGACTGGTCAGTCATGGAAGAACTTTCTGTACAGGATCAATTCAGCTGTGACAGGAAGCTGGACATGAGCCGGCACCATGCGCTGGAGCCCAGAAACCAACTCTCTTGTGGGCTGCAGCAAAAGCAGTGTGGGTAGCAGGGCCAGGGAGGGGATTCTGTCCCTTTACTTGGCTCTTGTGAGATCCCACCTGGAGCACTAGGTCCAGTTCTGGAGCCCCAAACACAGGAAGGACATGGAGCTCCTGGAGAGAGTCCAGAGGACACAAAGATGATCTGAGGGTTGGAGCAGCTCTGCTCTGGATACAGGCTGAGAAAGCTGGGGTTTTCAGCCTGGAGAAGAGAAGGCTCCAGGGAGACCTTAGAGCACCTTCCAGTGCCTGAAGGGGCTCCAGGAAAGCTGGGGAGGGACTTTTCACCAGCGTATGCAGTTATAGGACATGGGGGGATGGTTTTAAGCTGGAAGAGGGGAGATTTACGTTAGACATTAGGAAGAAATTCTTTCCTGTGAGGGTTGTGAGACATTGGCCCAGGTTGCCCAAGGAGGTTGTGGAATCCCTTTCCCTGGAAGTGTTCAAGGCTAGGTTGGATGGGACTTGGAGCAACCTGTTCTAGTGGGACGTGTCCCTGCCCATACAGGGGGTTGGAACTGCACGGTATTTAAGGTCCTTTCCAACCCAAACCACTCAGTGATCTTTCTGACTTGCCTTCATTTGCAGTTGTTCATAGGACTATCTCAGTTTCTTGTCATTGGCCTTCAATTAACTTTACACATAAAAACATTTGTATAAACCCCATTATAACACCAGGTCTTCAAAAACAAGCAAAAAGACCATAAAGAAGTTGATACTTGAAATAATCGCTGTTTAGCAATATGAATGATGTATGTATATGCCAGGAGAGGTCCTTGAGCAAGCTACCTTGGGAATCAGTGCATCACACAGCCCTGCTGTGGGCAGCTGAGTGCTGGGGGTGCCCCAGCACTCACCACTGGCACAGCTTGGCTGTCTCCTCCTACAAAAGCAGATGTAAACACTTGGGCAGTCTGAAAACCCTGACCTCCCTTCCTTTCCAGCAGAACTGGGAGCCATGATTTCTCCAGGTGACACCCCCCCTTTCCCTGTGAGAGTTCATGGCTCTTCACAGGGCAGGAGGCACATGGGGGCTTTGTTGGTGTTCAAATCAATCTCCTTTAGGAAAGGACTAAACAAAAAGAAAAAAAAAATATAAATCCACACAAGAAGAAAATAACAGTTGAAGATGCGTTATTGATTTCAATATAATTAAACATCCCTTTCCTCAGGCCTGCAGTCCCTGCCTTCCCTCTCGGTGCCGGGATGGCCGGGAGGGTTTGGCCGGGCACCTCCTGCCCTGCCTGGCTGCCGGCAGCGTCCTGGGCTTTCCCCCTGGAGTGGGGCGAGGAGAAGGATGGCAGCCGGGCCTGGGAGCAGGATGGAAAAGGGGCATCTGCAAAAGAGCTGTGGCACGAGACAGAGGGGCAGGAGGTGCTGGGGACACTGCACGGGCAGGTGATGCTGAGCTGGCTCCCTCAGTCGATCCTGGTCGCTTTC